TTTCAGCTACCAATTTATTCAATTTTAAACAAGCTCTTCACCATTTTGTATTTTGTTTTAGTGAGTTTGATTATCATCTTTACATACATTGCAATCATGATCACTGTGAAGTCAGCCTCTTCTAATGTCCATAATGCCAGCAAGGCCCATAAGACTGTGCTGTTGCATCTGTTTCAGTTATGCCTGTGTCTCACCTCTGCTGTGTTTAATATGATCAACTCCAGTGGCATGTGGAACGTAGATCATGCTATGGTCATTCATATTAACTATGCCCTCTTTGTAGGTCTTATTATTTTCCCTAGGTGTTTGAGCCCACTCATTTACGGCCTCAGAGATCAGACCTTCAGACATGCCTTTAAATACTATTTTACCTTTGGCCTCAAAACCACTGTTAGACCATTTCCTAAGCCTTGATTTCTTCCTGTGATTTACTTTAGTAAATGAAGAGGTTTATGAGAAATCTGATCAGATTCAAGTCAGAATTAAAATGTCTTTAAAATCTTTTTTGTTTAGATGATTAAACATACTGTATACTGATTTTAGGTCATACTACACCCTGCACTATAGAGCAATTATTTTCTCACAGAGCTGTAAATAAGCTAGTAAGTAAGCTGAGAATTACTGTCTAAAACCACTACTGTCTCCTCAATATGCATTTTTGTGGTGAAGTGCAGCATCTTTTTAATCACTATTAAAATACTGAATAGAAGTGAGTTTCATCCTTTTGGTGATATTAATGTAAATATAAGACATCAACCAAGTGTGTACACAGTAATAAAGTGACATATTTCATAATCCACTGTAAGAAATGATTACATATTGTTGTGTTAAATATGTTTCATAAAATTCTAATTAACTCTGTGACTTGTACATTTTATGCTAATCTCTTAAAATATACACGTTTAAAAGTAAATCACCCTTTTAGAATGATTAAATCATGTAATTAGTCATTAATATGATGAGATGTATAATTAACATCATTGACATTAACGTCTGTTTCAAGCTATGTTATCTTTTATGTGAGAGACACCATATTGATACATAAACCCTAATATAAAACTTGTGTATGATGTACTTGATGGTTGTGTTGTTCTGTCGTATCAGTCATGGTAAAATAAAATAAAAACTGTCATAAGTTCCTTCAAAGTTGTGTCATTAGAGAAAAAAATAAGCATCTTATAATGAACATTTTGTAATAAAAAGCTCAGAAATCTTTAATTGCTTGAGGTTTCTCAGTTTTACCTGCACTGTTTGCTGCTTCTGAAATATAAATATAATGCACATCTAATGTGAGCCACAACTGTAAATAAATATTTGACATTTGTTTGCTAGCGCAATACAATTATAATCAGGGGTTGAACATTTTAGCTTTTTGTATGGTAAAAGTGAATATACAAAACATGCTGATAACTCCACAAAGTGTATCTAGAATCTAATTTCATGTGCTTCCAAAATTATACATTTATTTTCTATATAGGAAATTCTATGAAAATGTCACTACAAAGTAGGACACACTGTTTCAGTGAATAATCATTATTATCGCTCTGCTCTTTTGATATAATAAACAAAAACCAACAAGACAATATGGCGATATTTGACCAAAACAGAATTACACACTAATACACAGAATGTAATAACAATATTATCAATATAAAGATAAAGCGTGATGTTCCAATGTCTTCTATGAGCATTTCTGAAAGATGAAATACATTTTATACCCATCACAAATATCAATGCAATACAACATATTACTTTAGCTTTTGATAACAATAGTTCAAAAAGTCGCCATGTCTCACCAACTTTGACTGCCTCAGATGTGGTAAACATACAATATGTGACATAATTCATAAAGATTGGACTAAAGTAATTAAATTATGACCAATTACAAGAGAGATTTTATAAGATAAAAAGACATGTTTCCAAAGCATGATGTAAAGTCTGAATCTGCACGTGAAGAGTTCATCCTTTCAGCCAGCAGATGTCACTTTTGGTTTGTAAATAGTTCAATAGTGCAGCCTGTGACTGCAACTGCCACAATGTGTACGTTTACTTTTTAATATGTAAGCATGTGTCACCTTTTTAAGTCTTTAATATGTAAGCATATAGCCCCTGAGGGAACTTGTATGAGGTTATCACAGTAACTTGTGACATTATTGATGAAATTCCAGTCCCATGCTCTTTCTCACAGTCCAGATGGACACTTGTGTAGGAGAATGGATGGAGACAGAAAGCAGAGAGAGACCAATTTATGTGGGTAAACAGGGAGGGAGGTGCTGACCCGCAGAATAAAAGAAGCGTCTGAGCGGGAGGTGGACTAATTTAACCGATCTTTACTCCGCCACAATCCTGAAGCCCTCTCAGTACCTCTCTGGCCTTCATGAAAGAGCACTTGAAGGGTTGAAAAACATTCCAGAGAGACAAAGTACCTGGTGACAGAGAGCAGCTTTAGTTTAAAGCAAGAGCAGGAGGGAAATGTTGTTATCATGATCTCAAAAATACTTCACATCTTCAACCAAGAAAATGGAGTCTGTGGCTTTGGTTTAATACTGGTTTAAAGTTTCTTTAGTACAGCCTCAGTTTTACTGCTGGTCACACAGGTTATGTATCACTCTTTCGACAAGAAATGGTGCTCACATGGTGCATCCAGAGAAGAGAATTATATCCGAACAAGAGAAGGTACAGAAAGACAGAAAGCTTATCTCTGCCGTTTGCCAATGAACTGAGATGTGATCTGAGGGAAAAGCCACAAGGAATTTTTCAGACAAAATTGTTTAAACAATGTCTCTTGAGTAATTTTGGGTTACATGCAAGTAAAAACAACTATTATATTGGAAAATGTTCTATCAAAATATCACTTGAGAATAATGACAATGACAAAACCAACTTTTTTACAAGTCTGTGGAAACTTTGCACAGTGGATGGGAAATAAATACCAAGAATGCATACACAATATAATGCAAACCAGTGCAGTAGCCCGCAAGTATTGTGTTGGATTTTGTTAAGTCTGTAAGAGTGAAGTGAAGTCAGTCATAGTTATACATACAGGGGGGTTAACTTATACACTTATATATATAATGCCTATACAATAACATCACCAGCAATAGGAAAGAGGAAGAAATTGCTGAATGGACACCTCACTGTACTGCCACGTATGTGGTATTTATTTCAAAGCTTTTGTAATGGATTGCACATTTGTTTATGTTATTTTGTCCACTACCCATAAATTCATTAGCTGGAAACCCCGGTGGTAATAAAACGATTGACTAAGTTTGTTGATTTGGCGACGTCTACGAATACTCACGAGGCATTACACAGAAATGGAAGTTCAATTTCAAAAACTGGCGGCTGATGAAGGAAAAGGGAAATATAAAACAAAGAGCGAAAAAACAAAAACATGATATAATAGTGGGGCTCATCATGTCTAAATCATGCCTAATGGAAAAGTCTACCGCTCCATGAGGAGGGCTGGTGGAAAAGTCAGTGGGAGACTTGTACAAAATATAATATGACTATGATTTTAGAACAAGCCCCTAAATTAAATTACAGTTTTTTAGTCTGCACTTCTCTCTCCCTCATCATAAATTCTTTGTCAGTGTAACATATAGCTTTCATGTTGTTGCACTGCACTCAAGGCAACATTTCAGACTGAACTTAAGAACAATGGGAATATTGAATGCACTCATTTTACCCACTACGAGGTAGATTAAAGAAAATACATGCTCGCGCGCACACTCCCAAACGTTGGCGCTAGGGAGTTGCAGAATGGGATGGTGGGAGAGTAATTGTATCCCTTGTGGCTCTCCAGAGGACAGCACTGAGACTCAAATTAAAGCACTGACCTGGTTAGCTTTCTGTCAGCAGAAGGGGGTGCTGCCCCCCCAACCCCCATCTCATCTCACTCACATTTGCTTTGCAAAGATTAACTTGTTGACTGGCTATGAGCAGCAACTACATATGTCTACGTGTGACAGATCCACGCAGCCATGACTGTCCACCAAAAGCAAATGTTTAAAAATCTCAACAACCTTTTAGTGTCACTTTAGAAATTCAACTGGTATCACCAATTCAAGTGTCCATAGAGAAAATTAAACCATATACTCATTTTAAGAAGAACTAGACCAGATAATTTAGTGATAGCATATCGAAATATCTACCACCACGAACTCCTGAATACTACAGACACATTATTAAAAAAAGGCCTATTGTGAGTCATATGTGGCCATAAGTAGACATGGCATTAAGGTGTGTTGCTATAGCGCCACCTGAGGGCGAAATGCTGTTAAAAAGTATGGTTACAGTTGGACTCACTCAAGGAAGAATTAAGCCTTTTTTTTTTTTTTTTTTACAGTTGTCTTATAGGAGGAACATGTTATATGATACCAGAAAATAAATGTGTAACTTTTTTGCCGGGTCAGTCAAAGTAGTGAAAGAATAATTTGTTCTTGCCATAAATTAAAAATGGCGGAAAATATGTAGGCGTAAACGGGCGTGGCCTATATTACAGTCTATGGTTGGACCAAGCAGACAAGAAAAAAGGAGCTTTGTAAGAGAAATGTTGCTTTTTTTTATATGTTCACATCATGTCCTCATCTGCACAAAAAATGAACCAGTTATCCACGATTAACTGACCCAACTTTCCACCAAAATGTATTCAAATCTGTTAAATAATTTTAAAATATCCTGCTCACTGTCAAACAAAACATACCGAATATACATCCTTCCTCCCCGCGGTGAAACAGTGTATTTACAGTGAGCAACCGGCAGAGCCACTGAACAATAAAAGTGATTTAATTGATCAATGTATGTCGGGGTTATCAACAGAGGTGACGTAATGTGTATACACATGGATCATTCTTCCAGGGGGGGGATGTTGCTGTGGGATCTCGACAAGTGGCCGTTTGCTTCCATTGTCAGGTGAGCTCCCGGCCCCCCCGCTCCGGGCCGAGCAGATGGTACAGTCCACATGCAGTTCGGAGTTGTTGCTGAGGAGGTTCCTCTGCACATACCGTTAAATTGGCATGCAGCCTACGGTCGGGTCCTGTGGCAGGAGACTGCGCTGCTTTTGAAGATGTTACCGCCTTCTCATCGGAGTTACCTCGGACGGCAAGGCGGGGTCGCGTTATTTCACCTTTTGTGCAGTATCACAGGTGAGTCCGGGTTTTTTTTTTGTTTTGTTTTCTGTCCGGCAGTTTCATTTGTTCCACTAACGGCGCACAGAAGTTTTGTGAAAGGAGCCGACCGCCTGAGCGAACCCGGCGGCAAAACTCGCCCCCGGCGTGTGTTTTAAGTGTGGATTATTTAAAGTTGGAAGTGTAGTAAGTGTAGCAGGTGGCATTTAAACACCAAAGGAAAGTTGCTTTACAAGTTCACTTCAACGCGTCGGAGCGGTAGCTAGCCAGCGCCGCCACCGAGGATGATGGTGCGACCCGGCGATGCCATAGAAACAGTCCATATACCGCCGAGGGGCCGGGGCAGTGATCATCAGTGAGACATATACCTAATGTGTATATATCACCTAACCTACACTCTGGTGTTTGCAGATTCACTGGCAGCCATATTAGCTCCAGAAACTTAAAGTAACACGGTGCTGTGCTGCGAGTCACGACAGCCGTCTTTGGGAAAATGTTGAGGAACTTCATTTGTGTCCGCAGAGAAGACTAAATGTCAGCAGCCCCCTCCCCAGGTCGGGGTGGGGGTCAGACACCATGTGCTGGATGGATCCTGAGCTCATTATGCTTTAATCAAGGGGTGGGAAATATAACTAACTCCACCCTGAAACAGACAACTTTGTGCTCAGTGCCCAAGTGCTGCTGTAATGCATCCTAAAGAAGAGAAAACAGTGATACTAGTTTATCTCTAACTTTATCATGAAACTGAATCCTCATATCAACTCTCACAGCAGGACATTATTATTATTCTGTGTTTTAAAAGAAAGCAGTAGTATTGCCCACAGGCAGCTTTTCTACAAACTCCCTTTCCTCTACTAAAAAAGAACAAAAGTTAGATGTTGATAATTAACATTAATGATTAGGAAACTTGTTTTATATATAATGCATGTATAATGAAAAAGCTTGTGATGCACAAAACCAGACTAGAGACTCCCTGTCTGCTGTTCTCGATCAGTAGTTTAATGGTATATCTTTACTCACCAATGAGGGAACCAGGCGCAGACGCACTTTGTCCCCCACGCTGTTTCTCTTATCATATTTCTCTTGCTTTATCTAAAGGTAAGAAAGGGACTCCTAATATCACTGTAGAGTCCGCTTCACTCTTACAACTCAGCTCTCACAAAATGTCTCTAGATTTAGTTTCAGTGATTACATATATAAAGATATATATCATAAGACAGTGATACAAATATGTAAAGATTTAAATTAATGAGACGATTGTGATATTAATCGTGCTATCAAGGCTCAAGACTTCAGTTTATACCTTAACTCAGAAATAAAAACAGGATTATTTTTCAATTTAAATTATTCTCTAATAAATTAAGAGAAAATAAATGTTTTAGATTTTTGTCTGAATCTTTTTCAGTCGTAATTTGTCTTCAGTCTCTCTCTTTTTATTTTTTATTGCGAGCAAAGTGAATTGTAATGAATGGTGAGTTCATCTTCACGCCCCTACTGGATTGTGTTACATTACAACAAGGTTTTGTGTCTCTTCACTGCCTTTATCTCGGAGAGTTTTCTAAATCAATAGCAGCTTTAAAACTGCAGCCATTTTGACATGAAATAGTGAGGTAATAATCACAGGTGCTAACGATGATACTAATTAAGTGTCCGTTCCATTTAGTGTAGCAGAGGCTTTACAGTGAGCAGCATTCACAGCAGCTCCCCCCTTGACTCTGATTGATCTGAATGGAACCGAACCTTAATTAATACCATTGACACCTGTGTTTACCCTAATATTTAATGTCAAAATGGCTGCTGTGTTACCCAGCACTAAACCGCTGTTTTACGCTGTAGAGGGTCTCTCTTGGACAGTGTGCAGAGAAGAGAAGATCTGGGCTCCTACATTAAAGCTGAACCCACAAACACATCTGTAACTCTTTTGTTAGAGACTTGACCCAGAGACCCTCGACCACATTATTAATGTGCTGCATGTTCTGTTATTACCGGGATCCCAAAGTCCTGAACTGACT